AGGAATCTACTTGCAAACCCTGTCCAGTGTACAATGTGAAGCAAGTGGATTGGCTTCAGCTTTTCTTAATGGAAGCTGGAAATTCAGAAACTCATTCAGTGTTCTTTTATAAAAATAAACATAAAACAGATTTTAAGATTTTTTTAAATATAAAGGTTAAAGATGGAAAAGAAGTATAAAGTCTGGGGCTGGCTGATTTGTTTCCTTATCAGCCTGTATTTAAAATCACAAAGCTAAACATATTATAACATGTCAATCAAAAACATAAATAGCTGTACACCATTATTCCTTGACACAACTAAGTTTTTAAAGTTTCTTCAATAAAAATGGAGCTGGGTAAAATGTAGCGTTTATTAAAAACAAACAGATAAAAGCGATATCAGCTTAGTTTTCTATGTGTTTGGGTGGTTTTAGCTATAACTGTTTGTAAACCAAAAGTGTTGAGGGAAACATTAAAAATATAAATAGCATATTTTAATAACAGAAGTAAAAATATAGCCAAACCTCCAGTTTGTGCCTTTCCTTCTCTCCTTCAGACCCTCAAGATGTATCAGTACGTTTTAGGGTCAAGAATGGCAGCTGCCGGCAGTATTTGGGTCGGCAGTTTGTGGTGGAATTCTTAGACGATGCTCTTAAAACAACGTCTGCTGAAGTTCATTGTTGACCTGCCACAGGTGGAAGAGAAAAAAAGCCTCTGTGTCCTTTCAACTTGCTAAATTTTGTGTAGTGCCTCCTTGCTAGAATGTAAGCAGAAGTCTGCTGGAAGGGGATTCTGGAAAATACAGTTCCCAAACGTCCATTCCTTGTGATAAATGGGAGAACCTAGCAGAGGGAAAAGATGCATCTGGGCGCAAACAGCACTTCAGCCACGATTACACGGTCAAAACGCGTAACTGGGAATTTCTTCCATATAAAGATGGAAGTTGTATATTAGTCAAAGAATGGCTTCCCACTAGTCAAATTGAAAATTCTCTGAAAGGTATGACTTATCAAAACATTGTCAAGACAAATATTATCAAAAATATAGTTAAATTAAGAGGATATTGTGGGGAGGGGGTCCGACCTTCAGACAGCAGTTGGGAAACTCAGGATGTTAGATTTGCAGCCCAGTCCCTCAGAGGGACGGGGCAGCCCAGAGAGCTGGGACTTTTTGCTTATTCACTCTATGCTGAGTCAAAGGGAAGAGTTGCTCACAGTGCTCATGGACCCAAATGGAAGCCCCTTCCCATTTTGTGTGGTCCCTGGGGACGCATGAATGCCAAGCCCCATCGGCAACCAGAACTAGGCCTGTTAGGAGCTACTCCCTCGAGTGGCAGCCTTACGTAACAGCTGGGGCGCTAGATGTGTGGTCCAGACCTTCGGCTCCTCGGGGAGAAGCTGTGAGTCGGGTTCCCTCCAGATCGCAAGACTCTGTTCCCCGGGTGAGGTTTCCCTCAAGAGCGGAGTTGCCGGATTTCTCTCAGAGGGCGTTGGTCTGTGCGTAGCTGTGTGTATTCAGTGCGCCTGTGGGAGGAGGGAAACTCAGTAGCCTCCTGTGTCAACTATCTTGGTGACTTCATCTAATTTCTTTTTAATTTCACAAAAACGGAACATAAAACCACAAATTGAAAGCCAAGACTTTTTCACTGAGAACTTGGCAAGTTCGTTTTATAAGTGCAGATGGCCTGTTTCCCCTTCACTGGGTTAATGAGAATGTTATCAATTATTAAATGATATAAAGGCAAACACCTTTATTTCAAGAGGCAATTTCGTTTCCAACCTTGTTGGTATTTAATGAAACTTTCTTAAATGAAACACTGACAAAAAGACACTTTTGTATTTTATAAATCTTTTGTATCAAAATTTTCATCTTATATCTTCTCTTAAATTGAAGTTGAGCAGTCATGAATGTAATAAAAGTGTTCTCATCAACAAAGTCAAAATACAACTGTCTCCAAAATAAGATAACTCAGGTTATATTTTTAACTTTATTACCCATATAATATGGTTAAGTTGAAGTGAATTATTGAATAATTAAATGAATTGTGCATTTATCTCTGAAATAAAATTTGCAATTACTTCTGTTTAAATTTTGTAGTTCAAATTTCTTTCAGAAATATAATTTTCTTATGACAAATTTATGACAAAGTATGACAAACTTAAGCTGATAAGAACACATTTGTTTATTTTTCCAAGAGAGTGAACCCAAACATTTAAAAATTAAAAAAAAAAAAAAAACAGCTTTCAATGTGCCTTTTGCCTGCTAAAGAAATTAGGGAGATACAGAATGGTCATCATTCAAATAAAAAGGCAAAGGAAGAATTAATTATAAAAAATAAATTACTTAAATTTTCTTCCTTAAATTAGATTATTTTCCTCTGAAAGGGTTTCTGAAATCATACCAATTTATTCTCATTTTTTCTTTAAAGACTAATCATCCAGACTTTATCTTTTACTCACACACTTAGAAATCCAATTCACCTCAAAATGATACATTAGCATGTTTTTCAAAGACATATTCACAGGTGTGCATAATGTGGCTTATTAGCATAATCCACCTGCTTATGACATTTGGCAGTTCAGTAGCAAGTGATAAACATCTATTTAGGGTTAAAAGAAGTTCATGATCCATTAGCAATATTCAAAGGCATTTGAATCTGTACATCAAGCTCGTTACATGCTTATTAGTCTCGATGGTTAATTTATTCTCAGATTTTTGGAGCATATATCACTGTCTACAAATGCGTAAACATATTTATTATTAGGCATCACTTTGAATTATTTGTCATGTGAACCTCTGTCTTCTGGTATCATTCTTCACACACTGCCCGTTGCCAGTGTTGCCACAAACATGATCGCCACCTGCAAGTGCAGAAAGTGTTCTCACCCCAGAGACATCTTTTCACACCGTATTCTAAGTGACTTGGTTTTTAACAAGACTATCAAACTCTAGTCACAATCTGTGAGCAATTTATTGAATACAAGGGGATGGACAGTGTTCTCTGATAAGTAAGTTCATAAATATTACTTTTTCTCAAAAATTATCTAATCAGAAAACTGCTGGAACTAAGCTGCTGGAAAACAAGCTGCTGGACAACAGGCAGCTAGAAAACAAGCCACACCTAGATTCCCATGAGCTTGAAACATTGTATTCACACTTACTTGCTTAAAATGCACATGCTTGCTTTGTTTTAATATTTTATGCAGTAGATGACCTAGAGCACATATTATGCTAAAGAAAATTTGTGGTGAGCAACCCTGAGACTGACCATAAGGGCACAAAGGAGGGCGTATGTTTTCCTTAGGGTAAACAATGGACGGTCCTGGAAAGCCAGGTAATCCATTAACAGAACTTTGTTCTGGCATGAAAGCATGCTGTTTAACCTGAGAGAAATATTTGCTATCTCAAAATGTCCCGGAGGCAATCACAGACTTATATACCCCAGGACGGTGATTGTTCCTGGAGGGATAGTCTTGGATTTAATCAATCACTTAGCAAGCAGAGTTTAGTGCTTACCACATGGAATATCTAAAGCCTTACCTCTTTGATCACAAGTTTTCCTGAAGCTGTATACTCCTAATAAATATGATGTCGACCAGGCTTTCGGCACTCTCGATCCACGAGATCTTGAGTCCCCTGGTCCCGTCTTTGCTCTTTACTTTGTCTCTTTGTTTGTTAAGTCTTGCTTCGTCTGTCCTCAGACATGGTCCTGAGCTGCGCTGGACGCAGCAGAAAACCATGAATCTTCTTGTATGCTTATCAGCAATAAAATACCAAGCACGTTAATTAGCCTAAAGATGTGGTTTCCCAACTAGTCTCACTAAGTCCCTCTTCTCTGAGGCTCTTTCCACCTAATGTTTACTTCTGTTAGACTAACATCTGTGGCAACTTGTCTTCAGTTCCTGGGTTCTGGGGACACAGATGCAGTATCACATTTTGCTTCTCTTTACCTGGGAAGCTGCTCTTGAAGTTACTTACTATGGATTCAATCCAGGGTCTATGGTAAAACAAAGTGTTGTAGGATATCTGGTCCCTTCTGCTCTTACAGTTAATTGTGATCCTTTGTCATATAACATTTTACATAATCTTTTAAAATAAATGGAAACAATTGACTTAAAAAAGAAAACCCTTGTCTTCAAAGAGGAGCAGAAAGCCAGATGTTTTGAGGATACCATATGTGATCAAGGGGAAGAAACATTACAAGTAAAGGAATCATAGACAGAAAGATGAGGATGTAAAAGCTGTAAGCTACTAAAGCTGGAGGCCTGGGATGTGACGAAGGGAGAGGATGGAGCCTATGGGGACTGAAACTGTAAGGGAGTGTGCAAGTGGTCCCTGATTAGCAGGGATCATGAAAAACATCCCTCCCTCAGGGACTTGGGAGAGGGGAACAAGAGCTGCAGCAAAAGTGTCGTAAAATTCGACCAAGAATCTCCCCTCCCTCAAACCACAAAAATGATTCTTTGTCGATGGACAATTTTGTTGCTTCTGGGGTCTCTGAAAGTGTGGAATTTATTAATCTCTAAACCAAGTAATCTAAAGTGTCATATTAATTTTTATGGGAAGAGAAATTATAAAATTTAAAATTTGTATTTGAATATAATGAATAAGAACATATAATGAATAAGAACAAAATATTTTTCTTCTAGTTCCTCTGAAATTTGTGGTTGTGTCTTGTGCTAATAGTTTAACAAACAGCATGGCATTTATGTGTTGACTCCATTATTCTTCTAACTGAAGCCTTGCTGCAAACTTCCTGAGGGTAGTCTTACCCTTGTCAAGAGGCATTCTGTACCAGGAGGGAATGCCGGTTAATTCAGACTAGTGTAAGTCTAAGGAAAATCTGTCTTGTAATGATATTTGCCAATTATTAATTTGTGTGTTCTCTCATTAAATATTTATTTAGTGCCACTTACGTGTCAGTCACTCTCCTATTTAACGGGATTCATGGAATTTATATATTTATTGAGGGGCAGAGAATTTATCAAATAATGAAAAGACTAAATTCCTTGTACCTGAAATGAGTGTTACAGAGGAGAGACTAGTCATTCTCCGAGAGCTTCTACAAAAGACTGATCTGGACTCAAATATCACAGAGGGTTTCCCTGAGAAACGGTGTCAGCTGGGATCAAAAGAAAAAACAGAGGAGAATGAGGAACAGGATTGGGTGGGGCATGTTCTATATAGGGGATGCCAAAGGGCAGTAAAGACATAAATGCAACAGCCCTGCAGCAGGTGGGCCATCGTATGGAGATGCTGAAGAAGGCATGTGACTAGAACCCACAACGCAGAGTTGGGAAGCTTGCAGTAAGTGAAGAAGACTGAGGGAGCCTGATCTGCAGAAACCTAGTAGCTCTCTGAAAGAACTTGGCCTTTGTCCTAAAGGAAATGGGAAGCTAACTACTGAAGAGTTAGGCACAGCTGGGAACAGCTAGCTCCTCCTAGCGGCCATACCGGAAATAGTCCTGAGGAAGCCGAAGAGAAGATAACCCTTAGGAGACCTGTGTATCCACCTACGCATGGCGTCACCTCGCCTTGCAGCGGAGCCCTTGTGGTTGTGGCTGTGTCTACTATTTTTCATTGGCTTGTTTGATTGAAATTCTCAGCTGACTCAAAAACTATGTCACTTTTTTTTTAATTTCAAGAACAATAAATATGCCAAAAAAACCCAAAACCAATAAAACAAGGTGATGTACAAGAGGAGTGTGAGCTTGGCTGTGGGCAGCTATCCAGTGCTTCCAATTGTGAAAATCTCCAAGAACAGTCATTTTAATAAACAAAACCATTGCTTTTCCTTAAGGAAACTTGTATTCATTTTATTGTCACAGCAGAGATATTCTTTAAAACTGAAATAGAGTCAAGAGGTGTGTTTTGTAAGTTCTTTAGAACTGGGGAACTTATCAGGGCTTTTCTACACTGATAAGTCGTCTACACTGTGATAGCCTAGCCTAGGCAATGGCATTGTAATTGAATTGTTGACCTTTGTTCCTACATTCAAGGGAAAAAGCCACAATTCTTAATCCATAATCTCTTCTGTGTGTAAAGCAATATCCTTGTGAAGCTTTGACCCATTTTTGGAAAGGCTTATTAAATATACACATCAAAGAAATAGCTGCTGTTAAAGTTTGCCATGTTTCCCTTTTTTTAGAGGTTTGACATAATGTAGATTACTTAAGAAGGACTTCATGTTATGCTTATTTCATAAGGGCCAGAAGATTTGGAAAATAGATCACTGACTTGGCAAAACACTTAATTTCATATAAAATTTTAATAAACAGGCCATGGCCTATGCTGCTAGGAGGTAAGAGCCTGGGTGACCTTGGAGAGTTCGTTACCCACGTTCCCATTGGAGTAAATGTTGGCCTCTCCTTTTCTTTCTAAACAGCACAGAATATGCAATGAGAATCACTGCACTCAGGGGGATGGTGTGGTCATCTGGGGTTACCATCAGGGCAGAGGTCCTTAACATTGCTGTCAATCTATGTTTTCTTGAAATAAACAAAATATATTTTAAAGCATTTACTGCATCATATTCTTCTTGCCACCAAGAAAGCTTCTTTTTCACCGATCAGGAAAACAGACATTACAATTGCAAAAATAAAAATAAACGATCTCCTAAATGAGGGGTCCACTCATGTGCCCGCAGAGAATAGCCAGAGGCTGAAAAGACAAGAGAGAACTCACTTCCTGAAAGTCACAGAGCCACAGGCAAGGGCTGCTGTTAGGGCCTGTGAGGTCAGTGGGAAGAGAGGGCAGGATGGACAGGAAGCTGAAACAAGGGCCTTGAGAAAAACATGATTTCCAGGTCAGAGTTCTTGAAATCACAGTGTGAGGAACAGCCCAGGAAATAAACAGAGACTAACTTTTCTCCTGGCATCACTTTCTTTTCTCCTTGTTATACTTTATTTAGAAGCAAAGTAGAATCAATAAAATATATTTTCAGGCAATCTGTACATTTCAGAAAACTTGTCATATTCATTCCAGTTTAAAAATTCTCTTAAGCTTGGTAGGAAGACTGGGATTTCATAATCACACTGATTTGCGAGAAGCCTGTGTAGGTGGGTCTCTGTTGATCTCAAACCAACTCTACTTCTACGTATCAGGCACACATGCTCCAGCAACGGATGTTGTCATGCCCTTTGCCTCATCTTCTTCCTTACCCATCAGTGATGAGGTGGGAATCAACTTGATAAGAAAATAAAAAGGATTCTTTGGTGAATGCCTTTATATCAGTAGATTTTTAAGAATTTCTAAGAGAGCTTCTGAACAGGAAATATGATCAAGGGAAAGGAGGTTTAATTTTTCTCTTTGCTCCCAATATCCCGATGTGGTCATGCCTGCATATAAGGTATCCTGATTTAAAAGCATGTACAGTAACTGTGGAGCATTATAGACATTCAAAATTATTTGGAAACTTGTTTTTTTCATTAATTAGCTATTTATTAGAGAAAACTGTAATGTGGCTTTTTTTTTTTTTACTATAATTGTGTCTTTAATCATTGTTCCTAGAGAGCGTTGAGAGAACAGAAGAGTGATGAAGCCCTAGGGAGTGTGTGTGCATGTGTGTGTGTGTGTGTGTGTGTGTGTTGTGTCTGTGTGTGCATGTGAGAGAGATTTTGGTGGATAACATGATGGAAAGTTCCTTCACATTTTCACAGGATGGGCTATTTTCTCCTTTCCCTTTTTTATCTTACTCTTCTCTGTTTATTGAACATGAGTTAAACAAACAATAAAAAATGTTTTTTGAATTAACCTTTCGATGCTAAATTTTTATTAAACTAACTTTAAGGTGAAAATATATTAGGAATGATCAGATCTGTCTACCCGTGGAGATAGATACATTTGATCAGGTGTAGAACCAGAAATCCATGAATCAGCAGTGGCCACTAAAGGCAGAAAATGGCCTCATATGAAAACAGGCCAGATGCAAAAATCAAAATACTCTAAGAGCAGTTCTTTCTTCCATTGTGGGGTGACAGCAACTTAGGTTAGCAAGTGCTTACTGTAACACATTTTGTTTTCAGGATTGTTAGTGCCAAATAAAAATATTCAGTGAGGAGATCATTTGAATAGTTTTAATAAAGTGACAGTGTGAAAAGTGGGTTGAAATTATATTTAATTTGCACCCAAAAAGTATCATTTGCTTACTCATACCAAAGCATTTCCTCTAAAAGCTAAGCAGTTTGCTAACTGGATTAAAAGATCATTATCTTCAAGCAGACTTTCAGAGGGTCTGTGAAAGCACCCTAGAGATAAGGAAATTTTGCTGTAGAAAATCTCCTCGATGTTTGCATATCGAGGGGCACGTGTGTTCTCAGTGACAGGGCTGTGAGCTTGGAAGTCTCAAGCCTGAGCCCACGTAACAGGCGCGCCGTGTGGCTGGAGGTGTTGAGTAGAGCAGTCGGGTACTTCGCAACCCCCTATATGGGGAAATGAGTCGATCAAGCCATTTGCTGGATCTGAATTTTTATTAAACACAATCCATCCTCAATTCTCTGTTTTTATTTTTCTTTAGAAAATTGGAGAGAAAAAGAGCTAACAAAACACCTCCGGCTAGGCTAGTAATAGATATTTTCTAAAGACTGATTGTCAGGCTTCTATTGGCATCTACCTGAAAGTCAAAATTGGCTTCTCTTACTGTCCTCCAGCAAGAAACCCTCCTTAAGATTTTACCTCTTCTGTGGCTCAGGTTTTGTCTACACTTTAGGGAACGTGGATAATCAACACAATTTAAACTAATACTATCCCACTTCCCTTACTCAGTCTTTAGAAAGTTTATGGAGGAGCTGGGATTTGAGCATAGAGAGACTCTTGTTTTTTACTGTAGGTAGACCCTTAAGAAAGGAGGAAATAATTAAGATTTTACCGACTGGCTAGACAGCACAGAGCCCAGTGTTTGTTGTAACAAACGAAGTTCAGTAAATCCCTGTTGAATGGATGAATGGATGGATGCATGAATGAAAGAAGATAAAAGGGAGAAATACATTAAAAATGAAAGGAGACCACGGTGAAATAAAAGGAAAGGGAGCTGATCTGAGAGGTCGGGGGTGTTGATGAATTCTGATCAGTCTAGTGGAAGTACCTGCAGTAATTTGGAAACAGAGAACTGAAGGGCAGTTGAAAAAAATAGGACTAGAATATTTTTCACAGTCATGGTTTTTCTGGTTGTAAAATTTATATACATTCATTGTAAACTATTCAGAAAATATGTGAAAATGTAATAAAGCATAAAAATCCATACTCCCTTATCTAGAGATAAACATTGTTAACATTTTCTATATTTGTAATTAAAAATGAGTCTTTGTGAGTTAGAGGAAAATCAGTTTTTTAAACCAGGCTTGATTGTGACTCTTTTTATATTTTAAAGAGCATCACATAATTTGCATTAGTAGACAACATAAATCTGTTTCTTTGCTTTGTGTCTTTTTAAATTTATTTTTTATTGAAATATAGTCAGTTTACAATGTTTTGTCAATTTCTAGTGTGCAGTATAATGTTACAGTCGTACAGATACATACATATATTGGTTTTCATATTCTTTTTTGTTATAGGTTACTACAAGATACTGAATAGAGTCTCCTGTGCTATACGGAAGAAATTTGTGGTTTATCTATTTTTTAAAAATATAAGTCTGTTTCTTACAGGGGCTGGTGGGAGAAAATGAACATTTCCAAGCCTCTTCTAACTTTTTGTTGTTGTTGCTGTTCTACTGTGTCAGGGCATGGTAGAATCATCCTGTATGCAAAGCTAGGCTTGTAGCTCAGGAGAGATTTCAGAGCTAAATTGCCCAGTAAAATAAAGTGGGAAAGACAGTATTTGGATGAAGCTAAAGGAAGGAGGGTCCCAAAGGAAATAAGCAAAAGTCTTTAGAAAGTAATCAAACACAGTTATAGTTTGGGCTGAAAGATAGTTCATGATCCAATATTTTATCTAACATTCTATCTTTAATTGTTTCTATTGGGCATTGCAAACCACACCCACCTCCTCTAATTTTCAGGAAAGCATATATTTTGGAGTCTATGTCCATGGAAACCAAGTAAAGAGATGATTTTTCCTATCTCTGGTAACATGATATACAAGAGGGCCACTGTTCATTGGATGGTGTTATAATCTATTTACTGAACTAAAATAGTGAATGTTGTAGCTTGCACGTGGAAAGAAGCTTTT